CTACATCCTTAGCTGTTTTATAAATTTTAAAGTACTATCTTGCTAAAGTGTCTAGGTTGGACTCAAAGTTATAATCCACCTACCTCAATCTCCCAAAGTCCTGGGATGAAAAGTACATAGCACCATGCTTGGCTTATTATGTTACCCTTTTTATTTTTTAGTACATGTTTGCAGTGCATGATTATAAGTTATGATAACATTTGTTTGTTTTTTTTCTTTCTTTTTTTTTTTTTTTTTTTTTTTTTTTTTTTTTTTGAGGCAGGGGCTCACTGTATATTTCATGTTGGCCTTGAACTGACTATATAGCTCAAGCTGGCCACAAACTTACGGCAGTCCTCCTGCCTTGGCCTGCCAGCAGCTGGGATTACAAGGGTACTGTCACATGCTAATTTACCTTCCACTCCAACAAGTAGCTGGAGGCATTGCCTTTTGATACCTGTTTATACTCTACTTATGCCATGACTATCTCTTAATAACTAAAGCAGTCAAATATAACTGTAAAATTATTCTTTTGTTTTGCAACTGGAATTCTATTTTATCTTTTTGAGAGAGGGTCTCACTATGCAGTTCAGGCTGGCCTTGAACTTTGTAGATGGCCTTGAACTTGAAAAGACCCTCCTGTGTTAGCCTCCTGAGTGCTGGGATGACAGACCTGTGCCACCATGCCTGGCCTTGCAAGTAGAATTTTATTTTTTATTTTATTTTATTTTATTTATTTATTTGTTAGTACCAGGGATCAAACTTACAACCTTCTACTTGCCAGGCAAGCACTTATTCCACTGAGCTATCTCCCCATCCTGCAACTGGAATTTTAGAGATATAAAGAAATGTGTGGATTGTGTTGGCCGGGAAAGCTTTAGTGTAGTGCTCTGGGAGTACAGACTAGAATCCCTAGTGCGTTGATTGTCTAATTACAACCTTGAGCAAATTACTTGAGCAAATTACAGCTTTCTGAGCTGTAAATTTTTGAAAGCCATACCCAGATGTTGTCTATAAACCTCTGCAGCTCCTAATTTATATGGCCCGGTCCAGGTGTGGTGGCTTGTTTCTGTAATCCCAGCACTTTGGAGGCTGAGCCAGGAGGATGGGCATAAGTTTGAGGACAGCATGGACTGCATAGTGAGACGATGCCTCAAAAATACAAAACAACAAAGCCTCCCCAGCCCCTCTCTCTATATACTATACCTATCTCTCTATACTATCCCTAGAGTGCCCGTTTGTGTGCCTTCTCCATCTGTCAGAAATCAAAGCTTTCTATTAGATAAGACTAGAAATTAAAAAAAAAAGATTGAACTGTTTAGGGCCACACAATTTATTTTTGTTGTTTTACCTGGCCAGGATTTTGTGTAACTTAAAGAAACATAATTTTCT